GCATGCGGACACCCCCACTGAGGCCTTCGGTGGAGCTCCCTATGGGGCCACGAAACGCTGCCCTGGGTGGGGGAACCGCATGCGGACACCCCACTGGTGCCTTCGGTGTAGCTCTCTATGGGGCCACGAAGCGCTGCCCTGGGTGGGGGAACCGCATGCGGACACCCCCACTGGGGCCTTCGGTGGAGCTCCCTATGGGGCCACGAAGCGCTGCCCTGGGTGGGGGAACCGCATGCGGACACCCCCACTGGGGCCTTCGGTGGAGCTCCCTATGGGGCCACGAAAAGCTGCCCTGGGTGGGGGAACCGCATGCGGACACCCCAAGGAGGAGGGAGGGAAGGAAGGACGGAGGAACGCGGGGCACCGTCTCTTCAAAACGAGGACACAACACCACAGGATGGTTGGGAAAACAAGTCCAGACGCAATCTGCACGAATCGTGACCTTACCAGCCCCCTCCCCCCCACCCCTGGTAACGGCCGCTATCGCCGAATGATAAAACATGGTCTCGTGTGATATGTAGTTTTCGTCGTCGCTATGCTCTGTTGTCGTGTTATGCTATGTTATGTGATTCGGTCTCGGAATGTGATATGGTATGTCAGAATTCGTTATGCTATGCTCGGCTAGGTTTTTTTAGAATATGTTATGTCGTCGTCTGTTATGCCATGTTCTGTTCTGGTATGTTATGTGATGATCTGTTTGTTGACGGCCAGGCTCTATTTAGTATCTTGAAATATTATCTGCGAATAGTTGTCGCTCTGCACGGCTGCCGTGTTATGATATGTGTTGTGATGCTGTTTCATGCGATGGTATGTTCGGTCAAGGTGCGTTACATTATGTTCGGTTATGTATGCTGTGTTTCGCCGTCGTATGTTATGTCGTGTTATACTCTGGTATGCTACGAGGTGTTATATTATACTGTATGATGCCATGGAGTTGCAATGGTATAGTATGTCATGTTCTGTCATGCTCGTTTGTTCTGTCATGTTATGTTGCGTCATGGTACGTTCTGTCGTGTTCGTCGCCGCTATGCTGCTTTCGTGTTATGATTTGTTATGTGATGCTGCGTCCTGGTGCGACATGTTCTGTCAAGGTGTGTTATGTTATGCTCAGTTATGTTATGTTATGTTGTGTTCTGTCGTGTTCGAGGGCGCGAGGCGGGATCACCAGGACAGCTTGGGGTCTGGCGGCCGCGGTATGCAATGTCGGGTTGGCTGGGCGCGAGGCGGGACACCCGGGATACTTGGGACTCTCGGGACAACTTGGGGTCTGGCGGCCGCGGTAAGCAGGGTGGGGTTGGCCGGGCGCGAGGCGGGACACCCAGGATACTTGGAATTCTCGGGACAACTAGGGGTCTGGCGGCCGCGGTATGCAGGATGGGGTTGGCCGGGAGGGGCCTGCTCTTGAAAACTAACAATCCCAACCTGTCGGGTGGGGAATAATCGGTTTGAGGGGGTGGGGGCACGGAAGCACGGAGGATAGAGAAACAGATGCAAAAACAACGAACAATACGGAACGAACATTGAAAAACGATAGCGCGGTGTTATAAAGGACATCTCCCTTTGCCAAACCGCCGCAAAGGACATCCTTCGCCCACGAGGGCCCGAGGGGCCTCCAAGACGGCCCAAGAGGCCTCCAAGAGGGCCTCCAGGACAGCCCCAAGAGTCCAAAACCATTGTGCTTCCATTGATGTTTGGCGGGTTCTGGCGTTTGCCCATCTTCGGTTTCTCGATTGCCCAAGACGGCCCCAGAGGCAACCAAAATGGCCCCAAAGGCGCATAAGAAGCCTCCGAGATGGTGCCTTGACGGCCCACGAGACCTAAAAACATTGATGTCCCATAGGTTCTGACATGATTTTAGCGCTCTCGCCTTTTCGGGTTTCTGACTCTCCGCGACGGCCTGCCAAAAAAGGCCCCCAAGAAACCCGCAAGACGGCCCAAGAGGGCCGCAAGACGGCCCAACAGGCGCTAAATATGGCCCCGCAAGCGTCCAAGACGGCACTCAAGAGAGCGGAGGGAGGGACCGACGAGTGCCCAGAGAGGCCCATACGAGGCTCCCACGAGGCCACATGAGGCTCCCAAGAGGCCCCTCAAAGGCTCACAAGAGACTCCCAGAAGCCCCAAACGGCATCAAGCGACATCCTTTTCCTCCACGTACTATCCTCATCCTCCTTGTCTTGCATCTCCTCCTCGTCCTTTACCTTCTCTCCCGAACGTTCCCTCAGTGAAAAATCAACTGCAGCTGGGGGGAACGCAGTGCCCAACAACTTTGCCAGACTTTGGCCAAACGTTTGGCCGCTGGAGCAGCGGTGGTCCGCCGTAGGTGTCTCCGATCTAGACGTATCAGTATATGCATGTGCACACTCTTCGAAATTTGCGTATCCCTTGTTACCCGTTTCCTGTCTTCCACCCCCTCTCGCCGTTTCTTCGGGGATGGACAGACCTCCATTTAGTAAAACGTGGTTTAGTGAAAACGACCTGAGACCCAAACCTGGCGGGCGCCAGCCTGGAAAACAACGGCCGCGGCGAACTCTCGAAAACCGAAAACGGACAATCCACGAATCGACGTGTCACTACTGGAGGTTCTGCCCGCCCCCGATTTCTCCTCCTCCCAATTTCCCTCCGGCAACCGCTTCAGCCTCCTGGACGCAGCAACCGCCGCACTGCCCCCGCCCCCGACGCTCTCGGTTGCCCCGCCCCCGGTGCCTGATCGACGGGGCAACCGTGGTTCGCGTGCTCACAGCACCACGCCTTCTTGTCGTGGGACCATCCGGCTTGCCAGTTCGCATAGCCAGCGTCGCAGTCGTACGCTGGTGAAGTCGTGCCCGTCGGCTTGCAGCCACGGTCCTCGTGGTCGCAGCACCAGCTCTTCTTCGCAGCAGACCAGCCGTCCTCTCGAAGGGACCGAATTGGGGACACCGCAAGCTGGGTCGAACATTGTCCTGTGCAACGTGAGAGATACACACAAGCAGCGCCGACCGTGACGGCATCGCCTTCGGTCGGTCACTGAGAGAGCAGAATGAGGAGAATGGCATAGATGGGGGAGAAGGAGAAGGACACGGAGAGAGAGAAAGAGAGAGAGAGAGAGTGAGTGAGAGAGAGAGAGAGAGAATAAGGGAGGGAGGGAGGGGAAAACAGGGAGCGGAGGACAGGGATGACAGGGGGGAGGAGGAGGACCGGGAGGAGGAGGAGGAGGAGGAGCAGGCAGGAGGGAGAAGGCAGGGGGGCAGAAGGCAGGGAGGCAGGGGGGGGGAGCGGGGGAGCGAAAGCCTCGCCCCAGGTCCTCCCAGTTGGAGAGGCCGGCGCTGCAGTCGAAGGCCGGTGATGTCGGGCCGTTCGGCTTGCAGCCGCGGTCCTCGTGGTCGCAGCACCAGATCTTCTTCGCATCTGACCACCCATCCTCTCGAGGGGCACAACAATCGAGGCATTTTCTTGGGGTGGAGGGCTCGGGGTGGAATCCATATGGGCTTCTGCATCTCGGAAGCCAATCCGTCTTGTGATTCACCTTTTGCGGATTCAAGCCTCGAGCATCCATCGAAACGGCATTTCAGATTTCACCCTTTGCCCTCCACCTAACGAACATGCTCGGCAAATGGGGGCGCCGCGAACGGGCCCGCGAGTTGTCCCGTCCGACGCGAGAGGCAAGACATCCAAACACACTGACAGCCAGACACAATGCGAAGGCCGCGGGGCATCTCTAAAAAAGGCGCCGACCGTGTCGCCCTCGCCTTCGGTCGGCCGCTGAACGAGCAGGACGATGAGAAGGTCAGAAAGGGATAAAGAGAGAGAGAGAGGGGGGGAGAAAAGAGAGAGAGAGAGAGAACGAGAGAACGAGAGAGAGAGGAGACACAGGGAGGAAAAGGAGGAGGAGGGGGGGACAGGGAGGAGGACAGGAAGGGAGGACAGGGAGGGGGCAGGAAGCAGGCACGGAGGAGGGACAGGGCACGGGGCGGAAAGGGGGGGAGCGAGAGCCCACCACCGAGTCCTTCCAGTTCGAGAAGCCGGCGTCGCAGTCGAAGAGCTGCGATGCCACCGGGCTGGACGTGGTCGCCGTGGACACGGAGGCCCCGTCGATCCCCGAGCTGCAGCCACGGTCCCGGTTCGCGCAGCACCACTCCTTCTTCGACTCCGACCAGGCCCTGTCCCAGAGGCTGCCGTCGGACTCGCAGTCGTACGATGTGGCGCCCTGCGCATGGTCCGCGCAGAAAGCCCTCTTCGCCTCCGACCAGTCCTCCGCCTTTCCGACGCTGCAGTCGAAGAGTGACGGCTCGACCTCGGGCTTCGACGCAGCCCCGTCACAGCCTCGATCCTCCTCGGCGCAGCACCACCTTTTCTTTTCAGCCGACCAGCCATCTTGCCAATTCGAGTACCCAGCCTTACAGTCAAAGTTCGGGGGGGGCGTGGCCTCACAGCTTGCCCCTGGTCGATGACAACATGACTTCTTCTTCATATCCGACCAGTCCTCCTCCTTCCCGACTGTGCAGTCATAGTCGTCACAACCTCGGTCCTCGTTATCGCAACACCACTTTTTCTTCTCAGCCGACCAACCAATTTGCCAGTTAGAATACCCGTGGTCACAATTGTACGGATTTGATGATGTATGGCCCAAGCAGAAGTTCGCCTTCTCGTCCGACCAATCCTCAAACTTCCCGACGGTGCAGTCGAAGAGTGGCGGCTCAGTCTCGGGCTTCAGTGTTGCTCCGTCGCACCCACGGCCCTCATTATTGCAACACCAGTCCCTCTTCCTATGATGCCCTCTCGAAGTCGCTGGGTAACGTCATGGCCCGATTCATGTTTGCTCTGACGGTGTCCTAGCTGATGTTTTTGGCGGGCGGCCGAGTTCCCAAAATGCCGGTGCCAAGTTCCCGTGTCCCTGCTGCGGCCAGGTTCCTGGGACCTCGGGATAGAAGACCGATTGGACAGTTTAATGTGGAACATTGAGAATCGAGAGCAAGGCGCGGAATTTTTAGGATAGACGGCGGCAAGTAAAGCGATATGAGATGGTAGCGCGTGAAGTAACGATATTTTACTCATACGACGAACGATATTTGAACCAGACGACGTGGGAGCGCCGAGCAGAGAGGACGTACTGTTTTAGTCATCCCTTGCTTATGCCCACAGCCAGCGTGCTGACTTTACATATGTCGTAACATCGAACGTGGGGCTTATCTCTTGGAATTACTCAATCATGCCCAGATGCACTCCACCATTGACAAAGAAACCCTGCCTCGGACTAATTCTTAGGTGCGTGACCCGAACGACCACGAGAGAGCATCTAAGTCCTGGCTGACCAATCCTTCTCATCTCCGACTTCGCAGTTGAAATACACCTGCTCGGAATCACCAGCGCAGCCGCGGCCCTCGTGCTCGCAACACCACTGCTTCTTCCGATCCGACCAGCCGCGCTCCCAGGCGCCGTTGTCGTAGCCAAATTCGCAGCGAAACGTCAGCTGATTGTCATCATGATCCCCGCAAGCAATACCATCGCTCTCGCAACAATAGCTCCGCTTCTCCTGCGGGGCTCAAAACTGGGGAGGTCCACGCGGTGGGGTCACGGAAGTGGACATTTCTGGCAGACTACCGACTCAAAACTCTTGCGGACGCGCGGGGCAGGCCTGTAGCGCAATCCGACTTGTGATGTGCTCCTGCATCGGTGATCGTGTCAAATGCGTGCCACACGTTTGTCAACTGCATCCTGATCGTATGGTCCCAATGTGTGAAGGCACTCGGACCCGACCGGCGAGGACGCTCGACAGCGGCACCTTGCCTTTACCCGAGACGCAAACGAGGGCGAAGCGATAGATGGGCGAGAAATGGAATAGTGATAGGATCATCGATCAGATACCACGCGACCCAAACACACCACGTACCTGTATATGTCTTGAGGGCATCATCCGTACGACAACTAGAACTACTACCAGCTAGCAAGAATACTTCTTCTGCGGCCACTACTACTACTGCTCCTGCTACTGCTACTGCTACTACTACTACTACTACGATCACTACTACTACTACTACTACTACCACCACTACTACTACTACTACTGCTACTACTACTACTACTACTACTGCTACTACTACTACGACGACTACTACTATTACTACGACTATTACTACTACGACTACTACTACTAGTACTAGTACTAGTACTAGTACTAGTACTAGTAGTAGTACTAGTAGTAGTACTACTACTACTACTACTACTACGGCTACTGCTACTATTATTACGACGACTACTACTGCTACTACTACTACTACAACTGCTACAACCGCTGAGACCACTACTACTACTACTACTACTACTACTACGACGACGACGACGACGACGACGACTACTACTACTACTACTAATGCGACCACTGCTGCTGCTGCGACGACCACTACAACTACTAAGAGTCCCACTACCACTACTACGATTACTACCACTACTTCTACGAATGTTGCTACCATCAACACGTGTAGGGCAACTTCCACCAATCCTACTACTACTACTACTACTTCTGCTGCTACTATTATTACTTCTACTTCTACTTCCACTACAACAACAACAACTACTACTACTACTACTACCACTACAGCTACTAATACCACTGCTACTACTACCACTCCTACTACGTTTACGACTACTACTACCACTACTACTACAACTTGGAGTACAACTACTACTACTACTACTACTACTACTGCTACTGCTACTACTACTACTACTACTACTGATACTACTACTACTACTACTACTACTATTACGGCAACTCCTACTATTACTACTGCCGCTGCTACTACTAATATGGCTACTACTACTACGGCTACTACTACTGCTACTGTTGCTGCTGCTCCTGCCTACAGCTACTACTATGATCCCTGACCTTACTACGCCTACTCTTCTACTATTACGATGGCTAGCACTACCATTGATACGGCTACTACTACTACCACTACTACCACTACCACCAGTAGTCGTAGTAGTAGTAGTAGTCGTAGTAATGCGAATGACAGTACTACTGTGTGTTCACTACGGCGGCGAGTCTAATACTTACTACTGCTACTACTACTGCGTAGGTGCACGTCTACTACTACTACTACTACTACTACTACTACTACTACTACTACTACTAATACCTACTACTACCACTAGTACTACTGCTACTACTACTACTACTAATACTACGGCTGCTACTACTACTACTACTGCTACTACTACTACTACTGCTACTACTACTCAGTAGGTGCACGTCTACTACTACTAGTACTTCTATTACTACGACTTCGACCACGACAACTACGACCCGCATTATTACAACTACCACCTTCTTCTACGTCTACGTCTGCTTCTACTTCCACTTCTACTTCTAGACCTACTTCTGCGACTACTACTACTACTACTACTACTACTACTACGAGTTACTAGTCCTACTACCATTACTAGTCCAACAACCACAACTACCGCGACTACACTACTACTACTGCTGGTACTACGATTACGTTTTCTACCACAACTACTGCG